ATTATTATAATACTTATATTTGTATCAAGATTCATTTTAATAATAATGAGATATTATATGTTTTATGAAGAATTGAATAATAAATTTACACCCAATACTCAAAATTCAACAACTAATATGATCCAGATTAATTCATATTTCGGATGCTTTTACTTTCTATACATTAATGGTTGGTTTATTGTGTTATTTATAATATACTACTCGTTGTACACCAAATATCTGCAAATACTGGACATACAGGCGCTGAAAATGCGGTCCATTGTGTCGCCCATACCTAATGAATATCTCTTTCATATCCGACTATTTATGAGACAATTCACGCGAAATGAATTCAATTCATTAATATTTAAAATTAAATATTTCATATTTTGGCATTTGTGTTTAGATATTATATTTGGCATCACTGCTATCTATTTCATGTTTAGTGGAAATAATGTAACTAAACTTTGTGTTTACTCATTAAATTTAACTTTAAAGATTTTATTTATTTTATATATAACTATTTTATTTTACGATAAATCCAAAATATTGAAAACTATATTAATATTTATAAACACATGGGAGAATACTATTGTAAATAACATTGAGAATGATACTAAATTGTAATTGATAGTTTTTAATTGATGTAATTTTAGTAAATATAAAAAATTTAATTAACCTTAATGCTAATATTGTTAGAATAATCATAAGGTTTTTTTAAATTAAACTTATAAACATCATGATACAATTTAAAAAGTATAAATAAAATTATTGCACTTAAATAGAATTCGTGTAATTTAACAAAGTTTGTGGATTTGTTAGCCAGCATTAAATGAAATCCACAATCAGCTTGTTCATATAATATCTCCATACCATTTTCAACGTCAATAACCATGACACTCATAGTAGCGAGTATATCGTCAACAGCATCCTGCTCATCTTTGTCGCAAATATACTATTGTTATATTAAACATGATATTTTATTTTAACATGATCAATTAAATGTTTAAATTTTTATATATTAAATTTTACCTGAGCGAAAATTTTATTACAATCAATATGTGCCCAGAGCCATTTACATGATTTACTTTTATCGCACTCGCAATAGTCAAAATGACCATTATCCTTTTTGCAACTAGTAACATTTGAATATATTTTTCTCATACAATTAAATGCACTGTCCTCAAAATGATTTGTTTCATAATGAGGTGAATTATTTATATAATATTTCGGATATATAACTTTTGGTAGGCCTAGCACAAATAATAAATATATTAACAAAAACATTGTTTCCAACGGCTTATCTAGTATTTTAATCTAAATAACAATGGCTTGTATATTGTGTATGGTATCAACTTAATGTCAATAATATTTATAATCATTGAATCTCCATAGTAATTTGTAACTTAACTTCAGGGTAATATAAAATTATTGATAATTAACGTGCATTTTTATTTAGTTTATTGAATAGGTTACAAGGAGAGTAATTTAAAATCAAATAAATTAACAAAATTATGTTATTAAAAAAATTTTATTTGATATTATACATTTACGTAAATAATAGTTTATTTTATATTACACAATGTTGGAAGTATAATAAAATATCACTTTAATGTAAACAAGCATAGAAAATTATTTCTAAAATTATGTAAAACTTAAATTACCCTGGTGTAATAATATATAAAAATATAATAATGTTAAAATTAATTTTAAATAAATTTCCCAAAACATACTAATTTGATTTCCCTACCAAATCTCAATAACAATCTAAAAAATAAAAATTACCAAGTTACATTAAGCTTGTATAGCGTTTCATTAGTGAGTGAGCCTTCAGATTACCGCCAATGAAATACATGATACGCCCCACAAATACCCGGGTGTCGGGGCTGAGCCAGTCCTCAGTGAGCACCTCCTCATTTAGGACAACTATTTCCGACTCCATTGACTGGTAATCCGTAACCAAACTGTCCATCGCCTCCTTAACGGTCATACCTTTAAAGCGCACATAAAAGGCAACCATATTGTAGGCCTCAGCCATATTCCCGTCCCTTTCCTTGACCTCCTTCTCGAACGAGTAAACTTCGTTTACGAGTGTAATTAAATATGTAGCAAGCTCAAGTAATTTTTGAAACTTTGGATGATCCCACTCCTCTTGAGGTACGAATAGGTTGTCCGCGTATTCTATGAATTGTATGTATAGATATATGCCAATCGACCGGCCCCTTACCTATTATAATGATATATTTTAGCATTATATTATATTATATTGCTATATGTTTTGTGTGTGACTTTCATTGAGTTCCGTGTATTTCAAACTTTCTAATTTTACAAGTTCATTTAACATTATTATTGTAAATGTTTTAACACAATTAGCTATTTTAAAATAACTTAAATATTGGTTATAAGTAAATATTGTAATACTTTCATGAATTGCTTCAAATTGTCGATCCGTTTGTTTGCATTCAAGTCAACGCACTCAGCGATCATACCGTCCGTCCACTCCCTTAATAATCCCAGACATCGTCGCCGTTGACACTCATTATAGGCCGACACCTGCACCTCATAGATGGCGTAAGTGCCCAACATATAAGGTTTCCAGCGATGGATCTTGATACTTTTATTTCCAGGATCTAGTAACTTGTCGCATATCTCGTGCAAATTCCCATAAATCTTCTTTGCCATAACCACCTGTACGGGTGGTTAACATAAAATTTAGTCTAAATTAGGTGTGTTAAATTAATTGTTAGAGGTCACTCTACATCGCGATTAATGTTGCCCCACGTGGTTTCCATGTGATCGTCTAAAATACCACAGTTTAACATCGATTTGTTTAACGTCTCGTACCTAGTTATTTTATGTAATATCAATCAAATGATTTATAATTGCATTGATAATTTAGATCATTTACTAAAATATATTATAATTTACACAAAATCTTATTAGTACATTAAAATATTTTTACTTGTCAAGATGATGTATACATACCTATTATTGTCATTACAAAATGGATAGAAATATGCAGTAAAATAAGTACAATCGGCTATACGTCTGAATTTATCCCTCGACAGTAGACTCGTTTCGAAACACCAGTCCTTACACTGGCTGTCCATGGGGTTCACCAAATGTAAAGGATTTTCATTGAACGGCAATACGCTATGTATTTTGGGAATGGGATACCGAGGCTTGAATTCGTGCGATTCATGTGATATCATATTATTTGCTGGTGGGGCCATGCTAATTATAAATGATAATTGTAACTGTAACTAATTAAGCAAAATAAACTTTAATTAAATAAATAAATTTTAAATTATGTAAACTTCTAATTGCATTAACTAATTTACATAGTTATAATTTAACCAGTACCACAATATTTATAATTTAAATATGTACAATTTTAGTAAAAAATAAATTTTAATATTTACTATTACGAATAACTATATTTAATATAATAACTAAACTAAAATGTTTCTTGTCAATATAATATCTTAAAATACACTTACTTAAAAAATGTTGTTATGAATAATGTTTTAGTTACCTTTTTAATGAAAACAAATGAGATGTTTATTAATATAAAATGATCTTATTCACTAAAAATTACACGTTCAACTTAATCATTACACAATTACACAAATATAGAAACTGAATACAATTATACTTAATAAATAATCCTTAATAAAAAACTTTACATTTGTACCGTGGTTACTAAATAAATAAAGGAGTACAATATAATTAATGCTTTTGCGTACTGTATAATATACAGTGTATATTATAATATTCACTAATATAACCTGAATTACTAGTAATATACATGTACCAGTATATAAATTATACTGAATAGGAAAATAAATGTATGTAAAAATGGGATCAATGAACAATCCATTAGCTTTAAGTGTTCAGATTTAACTAAATAAAACGTGATTTGTATATAAAGTTGGATATTAAACAAGTTAACAAACCCTGTTTTCATATACTTCATAATTTAAACCAGTATTTTATACACAAAATAAAGCAGATTTTATTACTGGTTATAAATGAGATAGTTTTTTCAATTAAGTGCTTTAACATTAAAACTTAATGGGCAACTTAAAACGTAAGGTGTGAGTAAATTGTGCAGGGGTAACCGGTAATTTAGTAATGTAAACAAAAAACTTCAAATTAACAGCCAATGCATTTAAAGTATTTTATATGAATTTATAAATTTATAATAAATTTGTGCTAATTTTATAAGACTGTAAATAATTTAAAACATTTTTTAAATGTTAATTTAAATAATATTATCGGTGTAACAAGATATATGTTATTAATTTTTATAAAATTTTAATACAAAAATAAAATATACTTTTCTAATTAAATAATCAAAATACACTATATTAAATAATTCAGAAAGTTTTATGTTACATTTAACATTAATTGGTTTTAATTTAGACTTTAGCCACCTTGGCACATTAATCCACAAACAAATTACTTTGCTTTTAACACAATCTGAAACTGTTTTGGGAACTGTACCCACAAATTACTAGGATCAGGCTCTAGTGCGCTATCACTATCATCCCTGTCCCCACTGAATTCAATTTTATAATTGTTAGTTAGTTGCATAAATCTGACCAGGGCCACTAGCAGGTCATTTATAGTCAACGTTTCACCCGAGCATATACGTCGACCGTAGGTAAAAGGTATATAAGCGACAGGTTTGCTTGATACGTATTTACCATGGTTGTCCAAAAATCGTTGAGGGTTAAATTGATCCGGATTGTCCCAGTGAGCCTTGTCCATTAATATGCAGTATTGGTGTAACACTACACGTGTGTTTTTAGGTATGTACCTAATTTTGCGTAAAATGGACCAATATAAACAATATATACTATTACAATAATTAAACTATTGTTTAAAAAGGCATTATGCACATATCATGTAATAAATTTATTTTTCTCTATAAGATTAATATTTTTAAAAATCCTTACTAACTAAAAACTGTAATACTTTTATAATTGATTAATAAAAAGTAATTAATAAACACCATGTTACATTAAACTTGAATAGCGCTTCATTAGAACGTGAGCCCTCAAAGCACCGCCAATGAAATACATGATACGTCCGACAAATACCCGGGTGTCGGGGCTGAGCCAGTCCTCAGTGAGCACCTCTTCCTTTAGGGCAACGATTTCCGACTCCATTTCCATGTAGTCCTTCACCAGACTGTCCATCGCCTCCGTCACTGACATACCCTTAAAGCGCACATAAAATGCAACCATATTGTAGGCCTCAGCCATATTCCAGTCCCGTTCCTTAACCTCCTTCTCGAACGAATAGACTTCATTGACCAAGGTGACTAAATATGTAGCCAGCTCAAGTAGTCGCTGAAACTTTGGGTGATCCCATTCCGCTTGCGGGACGAATAGGTTGTCCGCGTATTCCATGAGTTGTATGAAGAATCTTACGGCAACCGACCGATCCCTCACCTGACAATCAATTATTTTTAAAATATGGCTTTATCTACTATCATGGACAAGCAAAATTGGTAACGGTTTTTCCTAGATAATTCCTAAACGAATAAGTCTTTCTTAGATTCTTGACTTCTGATTCTTAATGTACGAACTCTGGGTATATAATATCATAATTTTATGTTACCCGGTTATAAAGATAATCACGTTTGAGTATTTACCAGAAAATTAGAGACTCTCATTGAAAATACATTAGGTTTTTTTGTGCTTTTAAGTATTTTGGTTTTACAAAACTTCGAAAATAACTAACTCTTGGCCATTTCACATGCGATTTTTAGAATTACCGGGTAACATAAACTTATAATATTATATATCCAGAGATCGTACACTAAGAATCATAAGTCATATCTAAGAAAGACTTGGTCGTTTAAGAATTATCAAGAAAAACCCTCAACCAGTTTTGCTTGCCCATGATACTAAAATCTAAATAATATTTAGCAATGTTATTTTTACTTCCATGAATTGTGTCAAGTTATCGATTCGTTTGTCTGCATTCAAATCAATACACTCTTCGATCATACCGTCCGCCCACCCCTTCAATAGCATTAAACACCGTTTCCGTTGGCAGTCATTATAGGCCGACACCACCATTCCATAGATAGCATAGGCGCCCAAAATATAGGGTTTCCAACGATCCATTTTGATAGATTTATTACCAGGGTCTAATAATTTGTCGCATACCTCGTGCAACTGACCGTAGATTTCTTTGGCTTTTATCTCCTGTTCCCGTTATATTTATCATTATTAATAAAAATTTAATTTGATAATTATGTTATTTGACATAGATGATTTTCTACCTTACGGTTAATTTCACCCCAGGTGGTCTCCATGTGGTCGTCCAGAATGAATACATTCACCAAAGACTTTGTTAATGTCTCGTATCTATTAATATGATCATGATTCTTGAATAAATAAATAATGTGTTCAGTAATTATTATACATACCTGTCCCTATCGGTGCAAAACGAGTAGAAATATGCCGTATAATATGTGGCATTAGCTATACGTCTGAATTCATCCCTTGAAAATAGACTCGTTTCGAAACACCAGTCCTTACACTGGCTGTCCATAGGCTCCACCAGATGTAAAGGGTTTTCATTATACGGCAATACGCTCTGTATTTCGGGAATGGGATACCGGGGCTTGAATTTGTGCGACTCTTTTGATTCAGTTGTATTAACTGATAATGCCATCGTGTTATACAAAATAATAATACTATTGATAATTCAACTATAATTTACAAAGGTTTAAAGTAAAATGATGAATTAATTTTAACTTACATATATTTATACAACTTATATAAAAAACAAAATTTATAAAATGTTATTAAAACTTTGTTTTACACATTATTTTTAAATAAATGAATCACAAAATGCAAAACCAAACTAAGTCCCATCTAAATTAAACCAGTATATTTATTCAATATTAGTTTTATATGTGCAAATAGTATTTATTTATAACCAAAAATGATATTTATAATTTGATTAAAATATTGTATTCAAACATCCTGTATATAATTATTGAAATGTATAAAACTCGAATTGACCTATCTCAATACAAATATTAGCCTATGATTAATATGATAAACAATGTAGACTAGCTAAACAATATGTGACAATTTAAACACTCTATAATATACACTGTATTTGAATTAAAAGATAAGTAACTTTGACCATTAGTCATCCATATTTGTGCACCCGATTCCAATCTATGTCAAATCCAAATGCACATACATTACTATGAACTATAGGTAACACATTGGTGAACGAGTTAAAAGATAGTACTGTATATAAAAACAGCGATTATATGTTATCATTTTTTTAAATGACTTAAATTTAACTAAACATAACTTAGTTTAAACTTAAAACTATAATAAAATAGTATTTTTAAAAATTTTATTAACTATTAAATTATTTACGTATTACGTTTACAATATTAATATTGACCAATGTATTTCCTATAGTTGATAGAAATGTATGTGCATTTGGACTTAACATAGATTGAATATCAAATATTAAATATTGATATTTTAATAAAATAATTATTGTTGTTAATAAATGAATTAATCCATTATCATTTTTGGGTTTTTATTACTGCCTACACTAAGTGATACTTAGTTGACTTTAGCATACTCACGTGCAAATAATTTATATTATATTTTATGATTTGTTTAAAAATTGTATTTATATCTTTTTTTGTAAGCAAATATTATTTTAAAAATTGCTATCAATCTAAAATAAAATATGTTATAAAATAATTATTTAATGCAGGTGTTTTATACTTATGAAATCGTATTACAGTATAAACCGTTTATAAGTGCTACTTAATATTTTTAAAAATATATACTTTTTCTTAAAGTTACTTTTTACATTTAACTTTTTTAAACAAATATTTCTTGTAATTCATTTTAATATTTTAGTAAATGCATAGTAGCAATTAATTATAATCAAGATTATCTATATATAAATAATTTTAAATTTTTAAATTAATTTATTTTAAAATTATTATCATGAAACAATATAAAAAAATTACATTTACAAAATAAAATAAATAAAACCTTTAATATGTACGACTGTATTGTTAAATTTGATTAAAATGTCCCTTAATCTAATTTTTATAATCTAATTCGTAGACAATTGACATTGTAATTTATGTACATTAAACAACAAAGTCAATATGTATTTAACGTTTAGCTATAATTAATTTCCTATTAAATTAAAAAGACTGTTTTGTAAATCTGATTCAATATAACATTAATTTTTAAATAATTAAATATTTTATTCATTTTATAACGAGTACGTAACTCAGTAAAATATTCTAAAGTAGTCCTTAGGTAGAATCGGGTTTAATTTGATTATACTCAAAATAACCACTAAAATTTTATATTCATTTTATACCCTGATAAATACACCTTAACATACAACAGGGCTATTTCTCCCAACTCACTATATAGCTATATAGTGGATCAATAATGTGTCCTTTTGCCATACCCATAGACTTACACTCATCACTGCAGTGCATATGTGTGCAGTGTATGTAGGGTGACCAGATCCAAAAACTTGAATACTTGAAAGTTAACTCAAAAATACTTGAAAATACTTGACATTAAATTTTATTTAAGTTTTAACAATAAAAATTTTCCCTTAGCGGTAAATTAACAAAATTTAGATAACTATCAATTTAATTATGCACTTATAACCGGATTTGAATTAATATAATTATAGTTATTTTTTAATTGAATCCATATGTTACTAATATATAGTATAATTAGATCATTAGATCGAAAGAGTTCTTATTATACTACTTATAATTATGAGATATTTTTGTAACTCATTCAATACTTGACAATAATTCCCTGATTATTATATGAAATAAAATTAGTATTTAAGAATACTGTACAAATAAAAATAAGTATATTTTGCGTAAGATAATTAAATTATAAACATACTTAGTTATAATTATATTTTAGCTTTTATGGTAAATATAAATATTAAATTGTAGTTTCATCTGGAAAATGATATAAATTGTTGTTAGATAGTTTTATTTTGAAAATTTTATTTAATATCTAATTAAGTTAAGTATTTATATTTAATGAAATGATATAATATTTATTTTTAATATAATTTTAAGAAAAATTAATTTTAATTATCGCCGATTTTCAAATAATTGACATTATAATGTCAAGTATTACCCCTTCCCTTAATACTTGACAGGACCCTCAAATACTTGAATGTCAAGGTGAAATACTTGACAATGGGCAGTCTAAGTGTATGGGTAAATGGCAAAGGTATACGTTTTCAAACCACTTTATAGCAATATAATACGTTGGAAGAAATAGAGCTGTAGTATACACTTTAATATGATATACAATTAGCGTTGCCAGACGTCCTCCATTCTGGAGAACATTACTCCAATCGACCTCCAGTGGCACAGTTCTCCAGAGGGGTTGTGGAGGACAATGTAATGTCCTTCACCAGAATTTGTTCAAATAAATTTAAAACTTATTGTCAATCTTTACAAATTATAGTGTAAGCTTATTAGCATTATATAATGTTAGCCAGACTATTTTTGGCACACAAACTATAATAATATTTCCTAAACGCGGCCTGAGCAATATTTTATTCAATAATTAATATTTTTGACATTTTAGTGATTGTATAAGGATAGCTATTTTAAACATAATGGCAATTTGTTATATTTAGTTGTGTGCCAGATTATGTCATAAAAGTGATAGTGCTTATTTAAAATAGTGTCAAATTAAAGGGACCCGGATAATATTTTAT